CCAAGGTAGCCACTTCCGCTTCCGGCCGGAGCGTGCCCCCGCCCCTACCACGTGACGCGCGTCTCCGGCCTCCTCCAGCTCCCGCCCGCCGCTCACCATGAGGCCCCGCCCCCTCTTAAAGGGGCCGCGCCCTCGAGGGTCGTAGTCCCTTCCGAGAGGAGGAGCGACTGGATGTGAGCGATCCCAGCCTCCCTGGCGAACCCGGGACTGGAAGCGCAAGGGGTGAGCCTCAGGTCGTGTCCAGGCTCCTCTGGCTGGGGAGCAAAGCATCCGAGGAGGCGCGGGTTTCTGCAAAAGAAGGACACGAAGCCCAACCCCACGTGGCTGTCGTGGGACAAAGTCACTGTCTGCCTAAGGCGGCCTGGCACACAGCAAGTGCTCAATAGTGCCGGCAGCTGTAATCATCCCCAGGGGGCCATGGGCGCAGGACGCGTGTCAGCATGTCACCGTCTCGCCTTCCATATCTGGGTCAAAGTCGCCGTCCAGGTTCTAAGACCCCCTCCCCACCTGGGCAGGACGGGGGTGGGGGGCTGGCGGGACGGTCATCTCGTCCCCTCGCCTCATGGCTGGGATGGGCAGGTGACCCGCATGCCATCCGCATGGCAGATCCGCATGGCAGACAGAGCAGAGGGCGGATTCTGTGGGTTTCAGCAGCTTCATTGAGATGTAACTTACATACCATAAAGCTCACCTGTTTAAAGTGTACAATTCAATGGTTTCGGGTTTTTTTTCGTATATTTACAGAGTTGTGCAACCACCGCCGTTATCTAGTTCCAGAACATTTTCACCACCCAAAAGGAAGCCTCATCTCCATCAGCGGTCACTCCCCATCTCCTCCCCCAGCCTCTGCAACCACGAATCCACTTTCTGTCTCTGTGGATTGGCCTGTTCTGGGCATTTCATGTAAATGGAGTCACACACTCTGTGGCCTTGTGTGTCTGACGTCTGTCACTGAGTGTGATGTGTTCAAGGTCCATCCACGTGGTTGCGTGTGTCAGAGCCTCCTTCCTGTTCATGGCTGAGTGACGTTCCTCTGTGTGGATGGGCTGCGCTGTGTTTATCCATCCATTCATTAATAGGCATTTGGGTTGTTTCCACTTTCTGACTACTATGAATTGTGCTGCTGTGAATATTCCTGAATAAGGTCCTGGATATGTTTTTTCGAGACTGTTGTGTATACACCTACGAGTGAACTCACTCGGTCAGATGGCAACCCTGTGTTTGTTTGCAGAACTGTCAGACTGTTTTCCAAAGCGGCTGCCCCAAGCTGGTGGGTTTTGGGTGCTTACTGTGTGCCAGGCAGGAAAACCAC